TTTTAGTTTAAATGATTAATGCATCCATGGATGACCATGATGGAGCAAATGACCGATATATGTAAAAAAAATTAATAGTCTTCCTGACAGGGTAAGTCAGAAAAAACTTTCCTTGCAATGCCATTCGGAGTTTGCTACTCCGTTTCTACTCGAAGTTTTTTTAATTATATCTATACGGAGTTAGCTATTCCATTTCGGTTTGAATTAATACCAGACGGAGTAGGCTATCATCCCAGCCCCCCATCTACCCATCCCATATCCCTACGGAAACAAAACAAACTTGCAAAAGAAACCTATGGAGGAAGATCGAAGAGACCGCCAGAGCAAGATCGGAGGTAGACCGCCGGAGGAAGACCACCGGACGGTGATCGGACTAGGCTACTCCGTTTCATGGAGGTATTTTCTATTTTGACTTAATTTATATAAACATTCTTTATTTTATGATAATATTGAGATACATATACTTTAATTTAATAAATTTGAGATTCATAAATCTATTTTCTCATAAATTATATAGGATTTAATAAAAGATTTTGAATTTGATTCTTATAATAGATTTAATATTTCTTAAAATATTGATAAAAATTTGGATTTTTTTATTTTGAGATTGTAAGATAATTTTTAACATAATTAGTTATTTTATTAGTTTTTTTTATTATAATGGTGTTGTTTTGCTTTTATTAAATGAATAAATTGTTATGTTGTAATCTTTGAAACAAATGGATGTTCATTTAGGACCTATTTAATGAGACGTTTTAGTTCTTGAACCCGGAGAACATAGGTGTGATGCGGTATGGGCGAGCAAAGAATACGCTAAAGTGATCTTAAAGTGTCACAGGACTTGTTTTAGTTTATATACGAAGACTCTTGTTGCTAATAGACCACCTCGTGTAATAGAGATTTTACAAGATTATGGATTTTATGGAGTGAAGAAAGTTGGTGGATTACAGTTGGATTGGGCTTTGATTACTTCTTTTGTGTATAGAAATGGAGACCCAATACCCATTCATTCCATCTTCCCTTTGGAGAGGTGGGAATTACGTTACAAGATGTTGAGATTTTGCTTGGATTGCCTGTAGATGGCATTCCATTAGTGGGGATCACTGGTCGATTAAAGGATCAGTGGATTCAGATATGTGACGACATGATGGGATTTAGACCAGAAGCATATGATATTTCCTCTTCTATGACTAAGATGTCTGCAATTGTTCCGAAGGCATTGACAAATCTTAGTGTAGATGTTGATTATGTACAACACACTAGAGCTATTATGTTCAAGTTGTTGGGTGGTAGCTTATTTTCCAACACGACGGGAAATGAGTAGTTTGTATCTGTTGGAGGTAATTATCATGGGTGACGGAAACCTAGTGCGGGGTCATGCCATTGGTACTGCAGTTCTTAGTTTATTGTATCGTAGTATGTGTCATACTAGCATGACACATGTATCCATCCACCGATTGTACAGTACTTGGGAAGGGTCGTACAACAAGTTGGCTCCTTTGCTCAGTGCAATTATGGGGTCAAACTAGGGACTCTTGTTGATTTGCAAACACAATCAACCATTTCACCAACTAGTTTTGAGCTCATGTATGTATTTTGGTCCTTCAAGGCATCTATAGATGGCTTTTACTATTGTTTTCCAGTTATTTTAGTGGATGGAACTCACTTATACGACAAGTATAAGGGATGTTTATTACTTGCCATGGCAACGACGGGAAATGGTGAAATTTTCCCCCTGGCTTTTTCCATTGTGGATGTTGAGGATGATCCAAGTTGGAAATGGTTCATGACAAATGTCGTCATGCGTCATGTCGTACCCCCACACTGCCATGTATGTATAATATCTTATAGACATGGTGGTATTGACCATGCATTCGCAAATCTCCCAGAGTTGGGTGGAGGTTAATTGACACAAAGATATTGTCTCCGCCACCTACGAAGCAATTTCTGGAACAAGTTCTGAAGTAAGAAGATACGGACCTTGATGTACAAAGCTGGTGAGGCCCCGAGCAGAAGGAAGTTTGACCAGTTGCTTCTCCGAATAACGTCCGAAAATCCAGAAGCTTACACCTAGCTTAATGTTATTCCAAAACACATGTGGGCATTGTCACATGATGAAGGTGGCGCACGTTATGGTATAATGACCACGAATTCGTTAGAAAGCTTCAATAATGTCCTTAAGGGATGTCGTTGTTTGCCCGTCTATGTCATTGTGATTAATAATTTTGTAATTAAATTAATTTTTTATAATTAGCAAAAATTAATCGATTTTATTGAGAAACTAAAAATTAAAAAAATTTTATAATAAAATTCTTTTATAAAGGTTTAAAGCAAAAAAATTGAAACAAAAAAGGGAATGTGGCATTTAATGATTAAGAAAATTATCAAAAAAATAAATTAAATAAGCAAATAGATTAGGCTACTCCGTTTGGTAATTAAAGGAGAGAAACGGATTAGGCTACTCCGTTTGAATAAATAATAAAACCAGAAATGGAATAGCCTACTCCGGTTGGTTTTATTCGAGAAAAGACAAATTGAAAGAGCATATAAAGGAATGAATTGCACCCTTTTTACACAAACAGGGAATTCACCCGACCATGATGTGGTAGCTTAGTAATAGATAATGGTCGTGACATGGTGTAATCATAATAATTAATAAAGACAAAAATAAAATAAAAGGTCACACTGTGTTGTGGTGGAACTATTCTACCGGCTCTATTCATTTGGATTGTAAAAATAAATAAACTGGAAAAAACTAGAAAAAGTTAGAAAATGATGGAAAAGGAATTGTATTAAAAAATTATTCAATTAAATGATATGATCACTCAAATAAATATGTAAGAAAACTCATTTTCGATAGAAAAAGGATCATATTTGTCTGTATTTGAGGTGATATGTTATTATTATATTATTACTATTACTATTACTATTATTATTATTATTGTTGTTGTTGTTATTATTATGTTCATAACTATAGTTTATTTTTCAATTTTTATTTTTTCTCATGTCTCTTTTTTGTAATTCACACTCATTATTACTTTTTGTTCATTTTTAATATCAATAATACAAAGTATAATTATATTGGGAAAAATTGTATTTTAATTTACTTGACACTAAACAATATTCTAAAAGTAAGGAATATTTTATTCATATACATTGATCTATGAAAAACATCAATACTTTAAAATAAAAATAATAATCACACTACTCCCTCTGTCTATAATAAAAAGGCATGTGCACTATTCACGCCGTCGAATTTTATTTATCTTCTTTACATGTTATATATGATAGTTATAATAATAGTAATGGTAATAAAAGTAATAATAATGTTAATAACACCAAAAACAACAATAATTAAAATAAGAATGATATGTAAAATACATTTAAATAATTTTTTGAAGTATTTCATAGTTTCTTCTAGTTTACAGTTTCTTCTAGTATGTCATAGTTTCATTTAGTTTTTTCAATTTCTTTCAATATCTAATTCTTTTGTTCAAGCCCTAAAGAGCAGGCTCTAAATGATTGTCTAGCTAGGCCTGAGAGAATCTTGGTGAATGAGGTTCATCCTTTTTTTACAAGGCATAGATCGAGGAACGTACGCTTAATCCACGCGGCACATGACCCTTATCAGAACTGATGTGGCAAGCAAGTCATGCAAATGGTTTAGGCTCTATTCTGTTCGCCTCATCTGTTTGTTTGAATACCTGATCTGATCTATCTTATTCGATTTGTTCTGTTTTGAATAGATCTTATTTGACCCAATTAAAAGTTAAAATTATTACTTCCTCCGTCCTAAAAAATCTTGCACAGATTCGTAATAATCTACACATCACATCTTACTCTTACCTATCACATCAAGGGTATTTTTGAAAACTCAACACAACATTATCCCTCCCTTATTTTTCCATTTTAGTCAAATGTCCCTCTCTTTCTGAGACGGAGGGAGTATAATAACTTTAATATTATTATACTAAAATAAGGTCCTTAAAATAAGTATGATCCAAGGACCACATAAGAATTTGCCCAACTTGTAAATGTCTCAATTTTTTTGTTCTTTATCTTTCTCTTTTTTAAGATTAAATAATAATCTAAAAAGTTGAACAGATCAGATTGGACCCTTACATGCCATTGCCGTTGCTCTAAGTTACGGAGTAAAAACTATTGCCCAACCCAGCCACCGCTAGCCGCAATATGAACTACTCCATCCGTCCATAAAATTCTTTTCCATATGACTTTTACGGTCTTCAATGTAACATTTTGACCATTAATATCTCTATTTATATATAAATACATACTCCGTATATTATATAAAAACATAATACTCCCTCCGTCCCTAAAAGATCTTCCCCTTTTATTTTTTTGTTGTACCCAAAAGATTCTCTTATCTATTAAAAAACCACTTTTATCCCTTAGTTTTTTATACCCTACCTATCACATCATACATTTTTACTAATAATCTACACATCTCATCTTAGCTTTACCCATCATATCAAGAGTATTTTTGGAAAGTTAACACAAAAATATCTCTCATTTAAATATTCAAAAAGTCAATAAGGAAAGATGTTTCAGGGACGGAGGAAATATTTCAAAATTATATTTTAAAATGAATTTATTGTTATTAAATTTATATGATAATTTAATGTATTTTTTCCACAATTTATTTTCAAAGTTTAAAATTTTAGCACCCTTCAACTAATTTATAATTTAATTAGCACCCTTCAACTAATTATAATTGTGAATTTGTGATACTTCTTCTCACTCATCCGTTGTTACTCCGTGTGTGTGTGTATATATATATATGTATATGTATATGTATATGTGTGTGTGTGTGTGTATGTATATATATATATATATATATATTCTCTCTAATTCTATCATCAGCCTTTGATCATTAGTACTCTTCCCAAATCTTTCATTTATGTCTTCGCTCTCAATCCTTGTGTGCATGCATATGTGATTAACAAATATAAGGATGATGACAACGTTATTGAACGTTAAACCCGCGGCACTTTTTGTTCTCAACAACAATCCCCAAAACCGCGACCCCTTGCCCGGTCTTGCCGCTCGCCGGAGCTTCGTCGGAATCAACTCGCACCGGAACTCATGGGGCTCGAGGCCTCGTCGGCAATTCCAAGTTTTCTGCGACTCAAAGGTGATTTTCTTTTATTTGCTGCATTAATTTGAAGAATAAAAGGAAAAGAAAACGCCAAGAAACGGCGTTGGGATACAAATCAGAAAAAATATTATATCAGGTGTTTCTTTGTCCGTATAAACAGGTCAAAACTATTAATGAATTATTTTTAATTTATACGTCAGTTAATGATGTATTTTTCTATTTTTTTAAGCTGAATTATAAGTTGTTTATTTGGTTACTCAAATTTAACATTATTTAACATTATGAAAATGAGTATTTTGTTACTCAAATTTTAAATGTTTTAACATTTTTTATTTAAAATATACTCCGGGGAAACACATGTCGGTTTTCATGTGCATTTGCGCAGTAGGCCCAACACACATGCCTATGAGAATTTTATTCTAAAATCAATTAGCCAGACAATAAGAAAAACCGAGATATGGATATATATATATATATATATATATATATATATATATATATATATATATATATATATATATATCCTATTGTATGACTTACGTGCCAACATATTTAGTAACTCAAGTGGATTGAATTAGCTACTGGCACCTCAAGGTTCTTAGGTTCGAAACCCGACATACTCTCAAAAATATTAAGCTTTTTAAATTTTATACGGAGTATATATGTAAATATGTGTTATTTAAAATGTAAATAGGAATGATTTTGATAAATGAATAAGAGGAATATGTTTTAGTTCTATTTGTGAAATAAACCTTCAAAATACTATTCTCAATGTTCTCAACATGTCAACCTAACCAAGCAACACCTCTTGTAACAAACATAACGAACTATATATTCGTTGAAGTTTCAAACACAAGTTTGGAATGATATTTGTACATATTTCATGTTATTAGGCCTCATGCATTTCTTATGACGATAAATTAGTTTGATTTTTATTTCGAGACTACACATTTCGTTGAAATTGTACTCAAGCAGTGCATTTTCCTAGAGTTTAATTTTTTTTAAATTTTATGCTGCAATTATTCAGATTCTAGAGATTAAAATTACCACTCTATTTTTTACACTCGAGTCTCCAAATTTTAATTAAAATTATTATTACATCTAGATTGCATACTCAAGTTAAAGTTCAGACGTAAAGAAACAAGTCCTTAGTATAAATATAAAAAAACAGCTTATTCTATAGGGAACAACAAACAAAAATAGAAAGGGAAAAGGACAAGAGAATTGATAATTAAATACACTCCAAAAATGTTAGTTGGACTCCACATGTTTCTTTTATGGCTAAGAATTGACAAAATTGTCCTTTAAAATTCTTCATTTCATTTTAATATAAAATTGCTTTTAAAGAAAAATACATTGATTGAGGAAAATATGTCATTTGTAAAGTGATCGACCTTACTTAGATAGGATCTCTTTTATAGCGTCATACCTCTAAATATTTCATTTTTAAAACTCAACATTAACCTCAATAAGGTTTTTTAAATGGACTTAGCTTGTATAAAAAAAATTAATTTTTTAAATCCTGTTTTTTTCTAATTTAATTTGAAATTGTTTTATTAAAAAAATTTAAATACGGAGTATTTTTTTCTACAAACTATTTTTTACCTAGTTTTTCGGATATTGTTGTTTTCTTTTTCTATTATTTTGGAGTAATTTTTTTTACTATTCTAAATATTTAAAATCCCAAATATTTTTAATATACTCTAGTTAAATACTCCATATGACACTGTGATTTTTAAATCATGTGCTCCATATAAAAAAAATTAAAAAAATCAGAGAAATAGATCTAACATCCAGAAAAAGTTCTTGTGATTGAAAATCATCACATTCATTACTTTTATCTCTTTTGTTTTTTGGATTTTAGGTGTATATCTTTAAATTTTTCTATTTTATTTTCTACAAATAATTTCAATACAATACACTTACATGCTCCGTATTTAATTAGAGTACAATCAAAGTTTTGGATTTAATATAATTAGAATAGTTCAAAACAGTTAAAGAAAAATAAAACAAAATAAAAAAATATATCAGCATTTTTTAAACTATTCAAAATAGTTTCAAAAAATAAATTTTAGAATTAATTAGAAAAAAGTCAGGATTAAAAGCAAGTTATATACATGTTAAGATCATTATAAAATCTTACAGAATTGGAATGTTACGAGTTCTAGCTTGTCAATTGAGGGGTTCATTTTAAGTTAACAATGACATATTTCCCCATCAATATTTTATGAGGATTAAAGCTTACTACTATTTTTATTTTGATGGTTATTTGATATTAAAAAGATATGAAAGATTTTAAAGGGTTTTTTTTTGTCAATTTCTAGCCATAAAAGAAACATGTGGAGTGCATTTATCAATGAAATATTGAAAATATACTAAAATATGATTTCCATGTTTTTATTCCCTAAATAGGAGTTAAAATGCATTTACGTTACAAAACATGGTCATGTACATTACTAAAAAGTATAGTAATGTGTAATTGTGTACATGTACTGTGCCACATTACTATAGTGCAAACTCCTATTTCGAGAATAAAAACATGGAACTTCTATTTTTATATTTTTTTATGTTTTAGTCCTATTTAGGGTGATTTCTCAAAAGAAAATCATGGAGCAAGTTCAACCGAGTACACGACCTCAAACCTTTAAAGTCCAAAATTGTAAGACGATGTTCATTATAATAAACGTTTGATATTTTTAAATGTACTGTAAATATATATTTTAATTAATATTTAAATTGGTATAAAAGTGGTCATTAAAAATCAAATTTATTAGGACTAATTTTAAAGCATAGGTACTCTATAAAAACAAAATAAGACCTAACACCTAACTTTTGCATCAGACCAATTTCATTTTTTCACATTTCTAGGCTAGACTCATTTTTATTAACTAAATACTCATTTTTAGTAATAAAATACTCATTTTTGAGCATAACTGAATTTTGGAAAAGTAAAATTCAGCTACTCGAAAATGAGTATTCAGCTGCTTAAAACTTGGTATCTAGTTGCTTGAAAATGAGGACTCGCCACAGATGTACGAGAAAAACCGTACAGTTAATTTAACGGTATATATTGCGAGTCCAAACTAACTTGTTCATTTTCTGTTTTAATGTCCAAAATGTTAGCAATTTGTTTTAGATATCATTATTTATAATTAGCATTAGCATTCAGAAATTTTATTATTAGAAAATATTATAATTATTTTTGTTATTATTATTATTATTAATTGTACGTAATAGTATTTGTTTATTTGTCAGCTTCAATAATAGGTTGATTCATACTTGTGTTAGGATGGCTTCTTATGTTTCTCTTGACTCCTTCATTATCCTTAAGTAAATCAATTATTCTATTATTGTAATATGGCATCGGAGTCACCGCTCTTGATGACCTACAATTCTATGTCTTCGCTCATGGCGGATGATACCGCCGTTAGCCACCCATCGGGCCTCAACCCTACCTTATTTCTTCCTCAACGTCAGCATTCCCATACTTCTCTTTGCCAAATTAATTTGTTTTGGCCAGGTCATTTTTCTTTTCTCTATCAAATTGCCAAATTCAATACTTTCTCTTTGTCAAATCAACCACGGCTTTACAGAATTGGTTGTATTCATCTTCTTCAGTAATTCTTACGTGGTCTTAAAGTGAATGCTCATTTTATCGGACTTAGTATATTAATATGATAAAAGAATGGGGCCTTTACAAAAAAAATTCACTTGTCAGCCCATGAAAAATGTCAGAAGATTCATATTTTACATGTGAACCATAGGACCATGACAGAACAACTCACCTTCTTTAATCTCTACTACATTCTACAGTCTCTTTCCCTTCCTAAACAATCGTCATAACCACCATCCTAATGAACCCAACAGTTGTCGCAAAACCCAGTCAATCAATATTTTTGGCGAGTAGGCAACTCTTCTGTTAGTAGATCAAAATCCCACCATTAGATCTTAATCTCCACAACATACCCAATCTACTTATTTCTCTCTAAATTCACTCATTTTTAATCCTTAATCTCCTTTCACTTTCTTTTCTGTAAAACAAATAAAAAACTCAAAACAAATCAAAATAAAAGCAAACACAAGAGGGGAAATAGAGGGAGATGAAGAAATTATATCATCCAACAACTCACCCTCTAAGAAAACCATAAAATATTTTCATAATTGAGGAAAGAAATTGGGCATTGTCCGGATCCAAGAAAAAGACAGAATGTTTGAGATCTTTTGTCAAACAAGCACATACCTTCGATATCTTTCTCTTCTTATTTTTTGATGTCACCAACTGCTAGTGCACATCAAACTCTTCTCTTGTTCTTTAATGTTAGCAACTACGAGCGCACGCTAGCCTTCACCTTTCTCAGGGATCCCAGCTAGTGTCGAAACTTTCTCTAAACATCCTTCATCAGTCTCAGCTTGAAAATGGATATTAGACAATAAAAATATTATTAATCATAGTATTGTTTACTTATTAGTCAGCTTTAATTATTTAATTGATTCATACTTTTGTTAGAACTGCTTTATATGTGTGTGTGTGTGTGTATGTGCGTGTGTGTGTATATGTATACACACACACACACACACACTCTTGTATCTTTCAGTGTACGTAATCTATTATTCAATCATTATTGCAACTCTAATGATTAAAACATTAGAGTTTTGCCATGAATAACATCCTGAGTAATTAGCATTTACGAAATTAAATTAAAGTTTTCAGTGGCGTGTATGAAATAATTTTCTATATCTTAAATATAATAGCTACGATTTGATATAATTTTGAAATTAATAAAACTAAATCGTAAATCTTATTTCCAATGGACCTAAAGGTCTCGTCCTACATGACTTCGGACTGGGTCGAGGTGAGTATGCGTCAAGTTTGAATAGATTTGAATTGGATTTCATACCAATAATTAGAATTAAATCTACGTGTACCCCAATACTCTATTCTAAAATGTAATCCAAAGGTTCACACTTACATTTTGTATCAATGTAAATGTGAGATTGATGATTTAGATTGATACAAAATCTTTAGGGTATGAATGTAAGCTATCAAAATGTAACTGTAAACCTTTACGGTATAATATTTAGGGTACACCTAGCATGATTGTTAGTTAATTACTAAAATGTGGGATGCTAAACCCTTGACCTTGATATGAATTGGGAAATCTTGTTAACTGTTTAATTTTTCCATAAAATATCGTCTAGTTATAAGGTGAAATAATTATACTCCTTCTATAAGAAAAGACTTCTATTTACTATTAACAAGTCAAACTAACCCTAATTTTTTAAAATATATTTTCATCGATCATTTGATAAAATAAAATGACATTGTCACCATTTATTTTGTAGAACTTTTGATGTAGTTTTTTTAATAAAAAATATTTGTTATTTAATTCTACGCCAATTTTTACTTATATTTATTTGAAATTAACTACAGTCAAACTCGTAAACAAACATGACCCATATTTTGGGAACATAGGGTTATGTAACACTTTGAATGATTGCGGACGTATGAGACACGAAAAGGTCCTCCAAAAATATAATGAATAAAGAGTACAAAGTGTAACTCGTGCAACCCAAAGTTGTGATTAAGCTGATTTTCTATTGCATCTTGGTAGAAATGAATTTTGAAATTTTGTGGAGGGGTAACAATCACTCAACCAAAACTTATCTAGAGTTCAACCAACACAAGCAGAACAAGTAAGTGCGGCACAAAGATGCAACATCTTATACCACTGAGATGTATGATTTGTAAGGTATTGTAACATCTTATGCTTCACTTATAAGTAGAAATATCAAAAATAGTAAATGACACAGTAAAATGTTTAGGCAGTTTGGAGCAAAGCCCATATGTAGACAGTCTGTGGGGCTCACGTCCGTGTGTACCAATTCTTCTACTAAATCATCGTAAAGATTACACCCTTGATTACAATAGATTATATTCTATCAAATGTATTGAATAATCTACTTACGACTGATTTGATGACAAACTCTATTTGCATCTATCTCCACGACTTGTTACACCTTCTTCAATTTCGACTTTAGGGGACGTGTTATCAACCCTATTTCTAGAATAGAAAGTTTAACAACTTCTGGATATAACAACGAACACACATTGAATATGTTTATACGATAGCTCTAAGGTTTTAGATATGGAAAAACAAAGCTTTGTGTGGCCGCACGCAACCTGTTAATATGACGGTGTGAACTTCGTGTAAATAGTAAACTCATCTCTTGTTTCTTCACACAATCTCTCGTGTATGTTATGCCAATCGTAATTGTGAGGAGAGGCAACGAATATATTGGAATATGAATAAGCTTAGTAGAGTTTAATAAAAAATCCTTAAACTAGCCATAGCTTCCTCTCAAAAGTAGCAAAACAAGCTTTGGAAACTTCCCAAAACACGAGACTCCTTGCTGTCAAAAAGCCTTTTGGACTTCCAAAAACAACATGACTCTTTTTTGGAACTATGCTATAAGCCATAAAAATATGCCAGTTGGGATTTCCGAATAATCAAGCTTTACTTCTTACCTGAGTAAATTTGTTCCGCATATAATGTGACACAACAAAGTGATACCACATAATCTTTAGTAATATGATGACAAACGAGATATTACAGCTTTATCTTAAAACAACATGGCTAGACACAATAACTTTTAGAACCTATTTGTTTATCAAAAAATAATGGCAACAGGAGTTTAATTACAAGAACTCAACTGACCACCACAAAAGGAGGACAAAACACAAAGCTAACAATTTTATCCAATACTTTTCTATTTTCATTAAATCAATGTATCTAATTATTCTCAAATCTCACATAGTCAATCATTATAATCTTAATGGAAAGAAGTTGTTTAATGATATTATATTATGAGCAAATGTGTCTAGCATTATAATTTTACATGTACTTTGCGCATCCAATTACAGACCTACCATTACAATAGATACCAATAGGTACGACTAGCTAGCTAGTTTGTGCCATTTTGGAATAACACCCCCCACAAAATGGTGTAGCTATTAAGCTCCCTCTTTATATCTCTCTTGAATTATGGACTTAGATTTCATAGTAGAACTAGAGATCACTTGTTTTAAGGATTTATAAGACACAACTATGCCTGCTTCATGGATTTTGACCCCTTCATATATATTAAAACATCAGTTTCGCATAATGTTTTTTTCTAATATATGTGTATCACAAGTGTCTGTTATTGTTAGTATATATCAAGTATCTCATCATTAATACTACACCTTTCTAGTGCCTAGTACTTAGATTACCTTTGTATATACCTACTTTATTGATATCACACACATAAGGTCTATCAGTCTTCTGATAACTCTTGCATACTTTGTTTGAGAGTCACTTTAACCTTTGTTTTGACTAGGTGAATATTTCACTTACTTCCACATCTTCATTGTTTCAACCATTGAAAATGAGTTGCAACAGCTTATCTTGGTTGACCATGAAACATAATGCATCACTTAAACCATCTAGAATGTATTTTTGGCATATGAAATCAGAATCATTCCAAGCCTCTCTTTATGCATAACTCGTGGGAACCACATATTCATGCGGGCCTTAGTGTTTTATCTCGATACCTACAAGCCACTTTTCATCTTGCCTTAAACCTAACTTGGCCAACCGTCATAGACTTTGTGCTTTATACAAATACCAATTGAGACAACATTATCATAACACTACTAGGTGTTCCACTTCCATCTCTTTTTCTTTTTTGATGGATAATCTCTTGTCTTAATCCTCCAGGTGAATATTACCCTTTCTTTTTTGGGTGCTAAGACAAATTCCACGGTGCTGCCAATGATGCGTGTGAATCCAATCGGCTTCCAAAACGCATCCTTAAACATTAGATGACTATCTTTTACATAAGACACATTTTGTCTATAATGACAATGTTAGTGTTGTCACTCTCTCTAGTAACACCATTACACATCTATACTTCTAACACATTGAATAATATATTCACTTTTTTAGGAAGTGTGTGGTCCTCGGGCATGTTTGAGTGTTTGTTCCTTTCATTTATTAGCACACTAATATTTTTAATCAAAATTTCATTATGTTGAATATTTAAGGTTGTTCGAACTAGGCTATGCATTAATACTATTTTGACTATGGGGGTGAATCAGATTATATATGAGGATGATTGTACATTTAGTATATTTGATTGTTTGTATTTCCTTGATTCTTGCTAGGACACATTTGTTAGTTTCCTTGTGTGCACATAACTTTTTAGCATCATATCATGTGTAATACCAGCTGACCCACACATGTTGAGTTCGTACTTGCATATTTTATTAATGCTTTGAACCCTTCTTTTAAAACTTGTTGATAAATACCGTTTATTTGTTTGAGTTGTCTCAACTTATAAAATCATGCATGTGTTATTGTTGTTTGCTTTAAGAAAAATCAGTTTACTCAAATTTCAAATATATTCATTAATCTTTTTCTAAGATGTAGGAAATGAAGGTCAGAAAGTTCTCACCTATTCTAGAGAACATGTTTTTGTCTGAGAATGAATTAAAGCAATCAACAGAATGGAAAGTGGTTCCTGATATTTGGAAGACGGCATCAGAAAAGTTTGGTAATCAAGTAGCACTAGTAGACCATTACCATAATCCCCCAACAAGTCTGAGCTATAAGCAGGCAAGCTTCTTTTTATAACTATTTTGACTTGATTATCATTATTAGAGTTTAGTCAGTTTATTACTCCATGTGCACCCGAAAACATCTAACATAAGCACTTTGGTTGATGTATCTGTAAGTAAATATAAGATAAGAACACAATTCTTGGAATCGAACTGGCCAACGAACTTATTCATTAGTCAGAGTAGTAGCTTGAACTATCATACTAGTGGTTCAAGTTCATAAAATTCTACACATACATATCTATGTGATTGTGCATGCGCACGCTCACACACGCATGCACACACACACATAAACACACACACACAAACACACAAACACACACACACACATACACACACACACATACATATATACATATCTATATACATCCCAAGTGATGTAACTTTGTGACATAATTTAAATTGAGGCACTTACGATGCTCCAATTGTAAAATTGATTGTTCCTACCTTCTAACCCCCTAGTAAACCCCATATACTTGGCTCGTCCCTAACACACTCCTGCACCCCTCCAATTGCAACAACCAAATTTTGAGTTAAAAAATTGACCATAAAGTCAACTAAAAGTTTAGATGGTGCAATTGTAGGTGATGCAAGGGTGCGTTAGAGACGAACTAGGTATGGGGGGTTTATCGGGGGGGGNGGATTAGAGCACCATAAGTGTCCCAATTGAAATGGTGTCATGAAATTACACCAGTTGGGATGTTATAACTTTACAATCCCTCTAGTCTAAAAAATTTATACTCTGTATGTCATAGTTTTGAAACTTCCACCCTAGTATCAAACTATAAAGGAAAATGGCTACATACGTTCTCTTTGTGTGAACTAGCTTATTGAATCTGATCTAAAATTTTTAAGGCAGAACTGACTTGATCTATTTAATATTTTGGTTATAGTGTAATATAAAGATCTTTTAATATGAGTTGAATTAATCTAATTTTGAAAAGTAGAAGAAATAAAGAAGAGAATGAGGCCTATAAAAGAATCCTAATGGTGTTATATGTGAACTTCCAACAACAACAACTTAGTTGGATCTAATGAGAGTTGGGTCTGCGAGGACTTGTGTACGTAGACTTTTCCCCTATTTCAAAGTAGTGAGACTCTTTCCAAGAGTCTTCCAACTCAAAATATAGATAAAAATAAGATCATTGAGGCCATATAATAAAGATAGAAAAAGGAACACAAAGGCAAAGAACAAACTAATAAAACTAGGCAAAAACACAGCTAGAGAGAACATCAAGCATACAAAGCATACAAACACAACGAGAGGAAAAACTACCACTTCGCCTAAAGCGCCTACTTGACAACCTTAAACAAGCTCTCCAAACGCTCCTATCTTAGATAATATCCTCAGTACTCTAATAAACTTTTGGTCATCTAAAACTTATGGTCATAAACAAGTTTGAGCATCTCCAATAGATTTGTGGTGCTTGTTTACTGGACCATAACCTTCGGAGACCCAATATTTATCAATGTCTGACAGTGTTAGCAAGTTCCCGAAAAAATCTTACTTTTTTCCTCTCTCGGACCTACTAAGGTCTCGATTGAAACACTTGAGAACTTGAACCTCGTTCGTGGTGGTGAAATTGCATTTCTTTGTATTATAGGCAGACCTTCTGTGCGACATTTTGAGTGATATAAAACTTTATATGAATAATATAATAATAGAAAAATTTATATTATATTATTGTATTGTGAATAATATATTATATTATTTTTATAATATAACTATCTAAATTACATGAATTTAAATATGTATAAAGAATTAAAGATATAAACATAATCAAGCATATGAGAAATTGAGAAGAGAAGAATTAGGAGAGTAAAGTATATGAGAAATTGAGAATTGTGTAAATTTTAAAAAATAATAATACGTAAGAAATATTTATAGGAAAAAAATGATCCCAACTACTTCCATCCCACCCCACCCCATTCCAAAAGCTAAATAGTTGTTACCAGTGGTGAGAGCTTATGGTTCCCCTCCCCTCGCGCGTCGGTGACGGTGCCAGCGCTCTGAGCTGAAACATGCACCTTGTCCACCCCTCTTTCAGTATTAAAATATAACTTGATGCTTGGGAAACCATTATGCGAGTAGAAATAAAGCAATGTAACTCATGATTAAGATCGAGAAACCCATACAGTTTTTACAAGGATGGGTGAAGGATACGCGGAGACTAGAAAATAAATCCGTGAGGATAAAATTGGTTTAACAGAAAATTTAAGGAAGCTTTATAACCTTTTCATCCGAAAGAAAGAGTATTGACAAAAAAAATTGTATTCACAAAGGAGCTTTCTTTGTTGAAGTTTTTTTTTCTACTATATATTCTCCATCTGTAACTATAGTCATTGTTACAACCCTATTATTGGGTAGGATGCCTCATTACTGCACAAGTCTTAATACTGTTATTTTTGAAAACTGCAGCTTGAGGTGGAAATTGTAAGCTTTGCTGAAGGCCTTAGAGACATTGGCTTAAAACCGGATGAAAAGATTGCCCTGTTTGCTGAAAACTCTTGTCGATGGCTAGTTGCGGATCAAGGCATTTCTCTTTTACCCTCTACTTACCAAGTATTATTTCAAATTTTCAAAAAGCATATGCTTCTTGTATTACTCGCCTTTGAAAAAGCAAATGCCCAATGCATTAAGGGTCAAATGGAAAAAATCTTTGTTTTTCACCCCAAGACCCAACGAAGTTGGGATTATAATGAGTTTGTTGTTGTTTTTGTTTTTGTTTTGACCTACTCTATATTATTTACAAGTTCGGAGGCTTAACCATAGTGGAAGGCCATTCATGAAGTAATGAGATTTTTTTGGCAATGTAATTCTGCCAGTATTTTTCAGTGTTTTAACTATAATTAGTATCTCATGCAAGAAAGTTCTTAAATACTTAGGGTGTTATATAACACATTTCAAAATTAACCCTTCATATCTGGTTGCACGAGTTTCTGTAAAATTTTTATCATCATCATGTTAGTCCTTGCTTTTAAACCTAGTGCACTTCTCCGCCATACTATTTTGTCCCCTTTTCATTATGACATGTCCGATTTTTATCACCAAAATTTTCCAATACTTTGTAGTTATGTTACTTTTATGTCAAGTTTAGATTTGAATATACTAAATCATTAAAGCTATTAAAAATGATCTTTTGATTACATTATGTGTATTTTAACTCATAATATCTATTTCTACACAATGCATAATGTGTTGTTTTACTCATAAAATCTGTTTAATTGAATCCTCTAGGTATTTTGACCACTGGAGCAATCAATGTTGTGAGGGGTTCAAGGTCTTCAGTTGACGAGCTTTTGAAAATATATACTCATTCAGATAGGTTAGTTAATGTATTCTTCGAGATGGGTGCTCGTGCAAGCTGTTTATTTCTATATGTTTACTTAATCCCTAATATTTTTATGGAGTATATGATAAAATTATTTGCCTCATAATGAACCCTTCATATCTGGAGCTTTTGAGGAGTGTTACATTCTTTTTAAATGATAAATTTTTTGGTTGTATCTCTAGTATCATTATTTACTAATTACCACATACATGGTATTCAACATGTTTATAGTCTCCATGTTTTTACCCCATTTCTTGTTCATATCATTCATCAAAAGGACAAGAGCTGTTAGCATATTGATACATTAGGTTTTATTTAATTAGATGAAACGATGTTATTTCAAATTCTTATGGAGCAGTATGGGAAGATATATGGGCAATTTCTTTGACTAAAGTTGTCTACATCACCTCTCACCCGATTCATGACCTTAGGGATTTGGTCATCTCTTTCTAATGTTAAAAACAAAATCTACCTTGATGAACCACTAGGAAAAATCACATCCTTAGCTCTAAAATATTTCTAACTCCTTTCAAATTCTTCTTCCATTCTCTGAATCTCAATCTGCTTGAATTCACTTTTTTTTACCAATTGCGATACCTTGATTTTTAATTTGAACTAAATGATCGGTAACTCTAAAGTAACATCTCAATCGAGTTTCAACCAGTTGTCTTGATACTCTAACTCATGGAACCCAAAGAAAATATATCCTCACACGTGTTTGTAGTAACCTCAAACATTAGTTCCATCATGAGTGCTATTTTGGTATAATGACAATTGAAAAGAGTTTGAAAACTAAAAACACTTGCTCAATCTATTCCCGATTTTTACTCTGGCTTCCCTTTTAAAATCAATGACTTCTGAAGGTTATTACAACTTCTAATTAATAGGTCTCTTTTAATTAATCGGCCTCCTTTTTGTGCAATTATAAATGTGTAGTCTAAGAGAAGTTTTCTGTAAAGATTCTCTCGCCTTGAATCTCAATTCAATCCATCACAAATTCACAATACTAAATGAAGCTTTTGATTTTGTTCATACCAGACAAAGGGAAATGGGTTTTAGATCGTAGATAGTTGAGCAAGGTTTTAGTTTTGTTGATTGTAATTCCAAGTATATGTTGTTGAAAATTGACAATTTGATCAAATCATTATGTGGTTAGGTTTTAGAGTAAACTATCACAATGCTCTCATTTTGAGTGTTTCTGTGCTTATAATTGCTACCCCATATTTATATACGTAGCTTAAATTGTTACAAGTTGATATCTCCCTTTTATCTTTTTCTTTTGCACCAAAAGTGAACATTTTACATGCCATAATTTTTGTCACTATATTAACAGTGTTGCACTTGTTGTTGACAATCCTGAAATGTACAACCGAATTGCAAAAACATTCCACTCTCGCGCAGATGTAAGATTTATTATCTTACTTTGGGGGGAAAAATCAAGTATCACAAGTGAAGTAATAGATGGATTGCCCATATATAGTTATATGGAGATCATAGATTTGGGGAATGATAGTCGTATGACATTTCTTCACTCCCATGAAGCGAGTAAGTGATTTTACATACGGAAGTGGTTTATAAAGTTGTATATTGTTATTTTTTTATAAATAGCAATATGCAACTTTATAAACCAACTTAAAATATATTGTTGAGCTATTTATTATCAGCAACAATAACCTTCATATTTCTACTTTTGCTAACAATGGTATTATCCATATTATCTCATTCCACATTCTTTATGTGTCTACTATACTATAACTATTGTCTTCTATTAGTTGCTACTTAAATCTCTATGTGCCTAATAAGAGATTGCTCTTTGTCTAATTGAGATTCCTTGATGAAAATGAAAGATCACTGAATAACTCATGCAATTGTAGGGGATCAATATCTATACGAACCTATCAAATCTGATGATGTAGCTACCCTTGTTTATAGTAGTGGGACTACAGGAAATCCAAAAAGTGTTATGCTTACTCATAAGAATCTGCTTCACCAGGTTTCTTCCTTTTCATTTTCCCCTTTCTTATTGTCGCAAGCAAAATAATAATAATTTTTTAAAAATACATAATTTTAGAAGTTAATTTTAGCAATTTGCTCAAAATATATTCACATTTAAGTGAGTGTACACATATTCCTAAACCATAGAGTGCTCATATGAAAAGCATAAGAGCAAGAGAAACACATTAATTACACATAGGATATGGTGTGTTATTGGTATTGTTGATCTTAGATCGAGTATTGTACATGTGCATAAGGATAAAGCATTCAAATTCATATTTTATTGAGGTTGCAGCTTTATATTTAGATAATGAGAGGATAATGTGTTTGAGTGATGCGTTGAAGAGAACTTGTGTTATTGTGTTGATCCACTTTGATGTTGTTGCTACCTTTTGGTCAATGTTATAAGTTGTATTTATTTAAATGCGATATGTTCTTCGGAATTTGATCTTTTTGACAATCTATCTTGTTTTGCTTTTTGTGTTTAATATTCCATGTTTAGGTAATAAAACACTTGCGTATAACTGAAAAACTATCTAAACTTATCAAAGTCTTGTGGACTTTTTCATGAAAATTGGAATGTTCAATTATGATCACAAATTGGAAATGTTGGAATTTCATCTCATTTTACTTAATGAGAAGTCCCCACAGGAAGATTATGAGTAGTAAAATAGCCTCTATACTTTTGTATATGAATTTAGCATACCTACTATTAATTAGGGGTAAGGTTTGTGTGCACGCACACACCTCCCTACTATTAATTTGGTTGTTGTTTGTACTTCTGTGGATGAAAGCATAGTGTTGAACATAATTAATTGACACTTGTGTGTGTTTTATGATATTTTTACCTCGCATTTGCAACTTGCAAAATTGTTGTTCAGTTCATGCATGATGAGATACCAATCTGAAGCTCTGGTAGTAGTGTGTGGGAAACTACTTATTTAGCAAATTCACTTTCTCAGTCAATAGAATTCTTACATTGTTTTGAAATTGAGGGATTTAATAGTGTAGCAGGTTAATTTGGTGGAATCAAATATGTGAAAAAGGAATAAATAGAGTATATATATGTGTGTGTGTGTGGATTGAATTATATTAATAATGTCATAATATAGAACATTGAGGTGAATACATTCTCATAAAGGGAACACTGACTTATGGTGATGTAAGTAAGTTGGAATTTCATGGCCTTTTGAGGTTTATGGTAACAAATTGAGTATAGTTTAGAACCCTTCCCTGCCTAAAAAATTAATACTCTCTTTGTCCCATTCTTTAGAAGGGTGCCAATTGCATACATTTGTACAATTAAAGATATGTATGTCGGAGCAAGGACTAGGGTGAAGACTATTGGGGTGGGGTGACTTTGATCCCTTCCCTATAGAGGTTGGGTTACACTAGGTGTCTACATACCCTTAGCCCTTTCCCCTTTGCTTTGGTAATGGATGTCCTTGAGAAAGTTCTGTGGTGTATGCTTTTGGCTGACGATATTGTACCGATCAACGACACACGAGAGGGACTCAATGGCAATTTGGAGCTATGGAATCAATCTCTAAAATTTAAAGGCTTGAGAGACTGAGCATGACTAAGACTAAGTACTTGGAATTTTTCTTTGGTATCCAGAATGACAAAATCAGAAGTTAAAGTTACTATTGATTCTCACCAGTGCTTAGGTGAGTTAGGTTTCAATATCTTGGCTCAATCGTGTCATGAATATTCAACAAAGTTTTACATTGGTTATTGAGACCTAACACAGCTCTCCTATTTTATCTGGGCTTGGAGCAGAACCTATTGTAGAAACGATGGTGGAAACACATCTAAGGTGGTTTGGACATGGGAGGAAAGACCAATAGTGTTGATCAAATGGTGAATAGGCATGTGACTAAAAGAAGGGGTAGACCTAAGAGGACTTGGCTAGAAATGATCAAGGGATACTTTTGCATAAATGATCTCACAATAAATATGATACATGATATGGAGCAATTATGTCGTTTGACCCATGCAGCCGACCCCACCAGGTGGGATAAAGGTTTGCTCTTGTTGTATCTTGGTTCAATTATTCAGGCACATGGGGAGATGATGATGTTGCTCATAGTTTAAGAGTCATTTGGGAAAAGTGGAAGCTCATTTCACGGGACTTATGTGAAAATAAGATTTTGACAAGGACAATAGAGAAGTTCTATCATTATATTGTTAGACCGACAATACTTTACAGATCCCAAATGCGAGGTAGTTATGTTTGTCAATTACATGCAATAGATATTCAAATGTTGCGATGGATGTGTGGGAAAACAAGGTTGGATAAGATCCGGAACGAGGTTATGAAGGGACGATTGTGAGTGGCACTAGTGAATGATAAGTTGCTGGAAGCCAAGTTGATGTGAGATGCTTATGATAGTAGACGCAAGAAAAATTGGAAGGAGGTGATTAGACATGACTTAGGACTTCTAGCCCTAGCCGAGGATATGACTTTAGATAGGAGTGTCTAGAGACCTAAAATTAGGGTGGCCTTTTGGGTCTTAATGGTAGTGTTTTTGTGTGCTTTCTATGTTTGGTGCATGTTTCCTTCTTTTCTTCTTTTTTTATTATTTTCTACCATTAGCTTGCTCTATGCATTTTGTTTTGTTTGAATTGGGGTATCTTGGAAACAACTTTTCTACTTTCTAGTAAGGGCAATGTCTATGTACACACATCTTTCCCAGACCCTACATTTGTAGGATTATATTGGGTTGTTATTGTTACCACTACATGACAACCATGTCATTTTTCATAGTTTACTTTTTTTATACTTTCCACACTCATAATGGGTAATCCAGAAATAGCCCTCTATGTTTTAAACCTAAGGTTTAGGCTGCGTATGTGATTACGTATGGAGTTTGAGTCGGGGTCTATTTGGAAACAATCCCCTCTACTTTCGAGTGGGGGTAAGGTCTACGTCCCCAGACTTGTGGGATCAAACTGGGTTGTTATTGTTGTTGTCACTAGTTCTATAGAACATTTGATACAATTTTTAAGTATGTTAAGTTATATTTTCTAGCACTAATTTAGACATTACAAAACTTGAACCAATCATCAGTATTACGTCTTTGCACAAGTAGAACACGTAAAATGGGATGGAGGGAGTAATATTTATAATTGTATAGCAGTGTGCTACCGTTTTGGACTTGAGAGATTAGAAGTATGTATGATAACAAAAGAAACTATACATATATTAAATGAATTACTAACAAGTTACTCAACATATGCATTGGGATGGATATGATCTGAAAACAGAGATGCCTTCGGCTTTACATTTGGTTACACTATAAGATTTATTGTTTCTCACTCTCAATGTACATGTGATGTGACTATGTTCCTTACCTGTAATTTGACTTTGTTCCTTTACTAGATTTTGAATCTGAGGGATCTTGTACCTTTCGTACCTGAGGATATATTCCTGACCATGCTTCCCCCTTGGCATGCATATGAACGAGCTGCTGAATATTTCGCTCTCGCTTTCGGTTGCAAGCTAGTATATACTACGGTAAAAAACATGAAGGTATCATTGTTATATTCATGCTCTTTTGTAGATTTACAATTATGATGGTGTTTTAAAATATAAAGAAGCATGATCTTGTCCAGGTTCTGATTCATTTCCCTCATATTCTAGGAGGATTTAAAGTGTTACAAGCCGCATTACCTAGTATCAGTTCCCTTGGTATATGAGTCTTTATACAGGTTTGTCTCATATTATTTTAACTTTATTTTGTTTTTTGTTTTTTTGCATTTTTATAAGACTATGAATTCACCCTATGATAGTGTTTAAAACAATAAGTTGTGCTAAAAGTTGGACCAAAGGTGGATTTCAATACACTTCTAAGCATTGAATTGAATACATGAATAACACTCTTTTCAAACCAAGTTTTTGTCTGATGTGTTATTTGATATGAATTTCTATATTTTTCACAACAACAACAATAACCCTGTTGAATCCCACTATAGTAGGGTCTGGGAAGGGTGTGTGTATGCAGACCTTGCCCCTACTTGGAAATAGGGAGGCTGTTTCCAAGAGACCCCCGGCTCAACCTGCACAAAAATATGAAAGGGGACACAGTATAACACGGATAGAGCACCAAGTGCAATGAAATGAAAGTCCTGCAAACAATAGCAAAAGATTCATATTTTTCACAACATAATGAAAATTAATATTTATATTTCATGTACTTTCAACCTCATTTCAGAAATAACCTCTATGTTCTTATAGGGGTAATGTCCCGTACATCTTGACCCCCAAACCCTAAGAGATTATCCCGGATTCATTGTTGTTGTAATTTTTCCATACATCGAGGATGGATTCTTTTCTTTTGTGATATGACGTTTTGCCTTTACTTTTTGTTTTAAAAAATCACTCTTGTAGTGGAGTTTTGAAGCAGATAGATAAAAGTGGAACTGCTCACAAGCTTATTGTATTATCATTTTTAAAGATCAGCCTAGCATACAAGGAAGCTAGAAGGATATATGAGGTTTATAATCAACCTTTTAGTTCTATCATGTTTCTATTTCTATATTTGATTAAAATCTAAAGAACTTTAGAATAAGAATTCATATTGTTACAAATCTATAGCTACATACACTCAGATTGTGAATTGTCACACATTCTTTATGTAAATTAATAAAAATGCATTACCCGATATTGGTGTATTTTCAGGGTGAATGCTTAACAAAAAATCGGGAACAACCTTCTTACGTTGTTTCACTTTTGGACTGGTTATGGGCAAGAATCTTTGCTATATTATTGTCACCATTGCATCTGTTGGCACGAAAATTTGTTTACACTAAGATTCACACAAGTATTGGAATTTCGAAGGTATGGTGTAATGTACACATTATTAAGAAACGATGTAGCATCCTACCATTTTATATACCCCGTTGGTTTGATGAAAAGAGTTTTCCTACTTTGCCCCTATTAGGAGAAGACAATTTTGGCACATGAACTAATTATTACAAAAAAATCATTAGAGGTGTTGTTTAACAAAAACATACAAGATGTTAACATAATAACTCTTGTATTTTACAGGCTGGATTAAGTGGAGGTGGTAGTCTTTCACCACATATTGACAAGTTCTTTGAGGTTTGCTGTTATTTCATTGTGGCTACTACAGGTTAGGGTGTGGTTTGACATTAGATTCTGATTCAAAATGTGATATCATACAGGCAATTGACCTTAGAATACAAAATGGATATGGTTTAACAGAAACATCCCCTGTTGTTGCTTCTCGGAATCCCAAATGCACTGTAAGTGTTGTACCCCTTTACACGTTAAAGCTATGCGCTTCTGGTCATTCATAACTTGTTATATTTTTAGTCCATCAAATGTAGGTCTTCATTTCAATTCATTGGTATTCATGCAACTAACTTATTTAAACCTCTCTCCTTAAATTAGCATTGCACTTTCATTTTTCACCCGTCCCAAATTTACCACTCATATCCTTTCAAGGAGAGCAATTTGTGGTTCCCGTTATTTTTCTTTTAATTACATTAAAACTACCCAGTTATGATTTTCTTAAACTCATGTTGGTTTAAGCTGGACAATAATAAAAGGATAGATATACTATATATTATGTACATACACCTTTTGTCTAGTGCGTACCGGTTTTTTTTAACACTCTTGGATCTTGTATATTTGGATACGTTTTTAATGCATTTTGAAGTTATTGTATACAACTGAAAGTACATACAGTGACAGATAAATATTTTGTTTTTGTAGGTCCTTGGGTCAGTTGGGCTTCCAATTCGGTACACAGAAATAAAAGTAGTCGATGCGGAAACCGATGAGGTTCTCCCTCATGGTTCAAAAGGCATTGTCAAAGTCAAAGGACCTCAGGTGATGAAGGGCTACTACAAGGTTAGTAGTAGACTGGTAGTAGTAGTAGTAGCAGCAGCATTGGATAAATGATTGTTTCAGGGTTTATTTTATTGTCATCATTGTTAAGTTATTGGTTCATAGTTCAACCTACAGTTTCATTCTATGTCCTTTGTATTTATGATTGTTGTTTTCTAGACCAACATTAAACATTTGCTCAATATTCATGACTGCCTTTCAGTTGTGCATTTAGAACAATTGTTGTCTTAATACAATGACCTTGCTACTACTTTATTGATTATGAACATTACTTTAATGTTCAGAATCCAATGGCTACACAACAAGCTATTGATGAGAATGGATGGTTAAATACTGGCGATCTTGGTTGGATTGTTCCTCACCATTCCGTAGGGCGGTCCCGCAATGCTTCAGGTGTTATTGTCCTCGAAGGTCGTGCCAAGGACACTATAGTCCTTTCATCAGGTAATTATTCAAACTCTTACCCAATGTTTTAACATATTTTATCCAGCCCATTATACTCCCTTCATCCCCTTTTAATGTTCCCACTTTACTTTTTTGGACCGTCTCTAAATAATGTTTTCATTTCCTTTTATGGAAAAAGATTGTGCGGTTCACAATACTTCTCTTTATTTTATTATTTTGAATCGCGCAATTTTAAAATGGATAGGTGAAAATGTCGAACCATCCGAGATTGAAGAAGCCGCCATGCGTAGCAATCTAATTCAACAGATTGTTGTTATTGGCCAGGTGTGTAATACATGTTTTTATGTACGACTATACATTTATTTCCCCAACGTGTTCTAATTTGTTAAATGCACATTACCTATTCTATCGCATCATATGTTCCTTACATATGTAACACATATTTAGGATAAACGCCGCCTTGGAGCTATTGTTGTACCACATAAGGAGGAGGTCCTTTTGGCAGCAAAAAGATTATCTTTTGTTGATTCACATGCCACTGAAGTTAGCAAAGAGACAACGACTAGTATACTACATAAAGAACTAGGGAAATGGTACCAAATTTATATTTTTCATCTTTTCAGTTGCAATAGTTAAAAGGAAAACTTTATGCCAATACTCCGAGAAATATGAGATTTTACATGAATACTCCAAGATAGAATAGTTATCACAGGCACCGGCACACCTGGAAATCCATTTATTTTTTTACAATAATACTTTGAGGAAATTTGTAATCAATATGCAATCTTGGAGTATTCTTGTAAAATAATTGAATGTTATTGGAAGTGTTAGTGATAATTATGCAATCTTGAAGTATTATGCAAATTTCTCCTAGTTAAAATACTTGAACGCAGCTAATGACACTGGTCTCATGTTTGCCATGACTCAGGACAACGGATTGCGCATTTCAAATCGGGCCAATCCTCATCGTTGATGAGCCTTTTACGGTGAGCTTACATTGTCTATGGAGCCATTTGTTTCCCAAAATTTCAATTGCTAAGACATTGTGCTTTCTGTTTGTGCAGATTGATAATGGCTTGTTGACTCCAACAATGAAAGTTAAGAGGGACAAAGTAGCAGATCTATACAGAGAGCAAATAGACAATCTATATAATTGAGAACTTTCAAAAAACGAAAAATGACTATGATGGTAATTAAGGAATCCAATATAATGTTACTGATGCTCTTATAACATGAACAACAGTTATAAATGTAACAGATTGTAAAGGTAAACTGAATAATTTGGTAGAGCAATGAATGTCTTAACCATCATATCTGTATCAGTAACATTTAATGCAATTGCTTAACACTCACTCTCAATTGTATCTTCAATACCACTAGACTTAAGGGTGTGTTCTTTTGGATTGAAAAAAGTTAATTTAACATTTTTCAAATTATTCCCGTTTCTTTCAACGACTTAAAAAAAATTATATATGGTAAATATAAAATAATGTTATATATCCAAATTTATAATACACCACCTCAAAAATGGACAAGGGTGAATTCTTTTTTATCTAAAATTAAAGTTTTCTTACATATTCATTTGGGTGATCATTTAATTGAGTGATTTTTTTAACACTTTAATTTTCCAAACATTTTCCAACTCTTTCCAATTACATCCTACATCTAACTTTAGAATTTCAGTTGAGAATAGATAACTTTCCATTAACGTATTCCTATGGGTCCTTTCACTAAGTTTTTCTCATCAATCACTTTGCCCTTTGCTTAGCTATGCACTTCCAAATTCTAAAATGCTTCAAGTTGATTTCGTTGACATAAACTCGTGTATTTGGTGAGTTAACTCTGTTTGGGTGATGTTCTAACTCATCTGCTCATATTGTGAGGCTAGTTCTTGGAGTCTGTTTTTTGTTTAACAGATTCATAATCTCTTGAAGTTGTGTAAGCTGCGGTATCCTTGAGTGGTTTGAGACTTGTGTGAATTAAGTTCTCGATTGTAAATTTGGAAAATAAAATATACTCGCATTTAGTTATAATATGAATTTAATATACATTAAATTTATTTCAGGATGCAGTTACGAAATATCACTTATATAATACGGAGTACATACTTAAACACAAATATAATTATTGAAATTACATCTGTCAAATATATATATATATATATATATATATATATATATATATATATATATATATATATATATATATATATATATATTTNTATAGAAGAATGCAAGTTACATACAAATGTCTTGGCTAGTTCGCATCAGTTGTATAGAGCATCTATTTGCTCCTTATATAGAGCTGTTACTTTATCTCTCTTAACTTTCATTGTAGGAGTCAATAAACCATTATCAACCTGTACAGCAACAGGGCATAAATGTCTAAGCAATTAGAATGCCTTCAAAAAGGGAATATGGGGAATGAATGAGCAATGTTGTTTACCGTAAAAGGCTCATCAACGACGAGGAAGGGCCCAATTTGAAATGTGCACCCTGCTGTCCTGTGGCAGTGTAAAAAAGCCAGCATTTTGCATGACAATTAGCTGTGTTGAGAATATTTCAGTGGTTGCAAGTTGGAAACTAAAATATGACAGAATTTGGGTTTTCTTTAAAAGAAGTCAATGGGGATGTTTGTCATTGCTTCTACGAATTGCAAGTATAAAAAAGCTCCAATGCAGAACATCCTTTCAGAAAAAGCTTTAATTTTGAGCTTCTGCGAAAAGCCGTTTGAGGAAGAAAATTGCGGTGAAAATAAGCTAGTATAGGTTTTTTTTGGTGCCGCTGTTTGAGACAGAATGGCAAAGACCCCACTATCCTTACCATTTTACTAGTTCTTCATGTAGTATGCTAGCTGTTTTCTCCTTACTGACTTCAGTGGCATCAGAATCAACAAAAGACAACTTTTTTGCCGTGGAAAGGACCTCTTCCTTATTTGGTAAAACAATAGCTCCAATGCGGCGTTTATCCTATGTGTTACAGATGTAAAATTATACAATGCAATAGAATAGGCAATTTATTCACCATGAACAAGTCAGAGTGTTGTAGAAATAAATGCATATACTCCTTCCATCCCAAAAAAGATCCTGTTTCGCTTTTTTGTCCTGAAATAAGGCTCTTATTTCTTTTTAAGGAAAGATTGTGTGGTTCATATAAATCGTCTCCAAAAAAACTACTCCCCCCGTCCACAAGTTCTCTTCTCGTTATCTACTTCATTTTGTCTATTTTCGTTAGTCATTCGAATATATAATATAGTCATGTCACCTCTTTTCTGTAGAATTTTTTATAGTTTTTAAATATGTAATTTTTATTTTTTAATTCCACACCAATATTCAAATAAATTGAACTGAAAATAACTTCAATCAGACATCGTAACACACAACATGAAGAAAATTTTGGGACAAAGGGAGTATTAAAAACACTTTTCTTAACAAGTACCAGACTACCAAGTCAAACCCAGAATCTTATTTTGGGAAGTATTTAAAGAACTCAACTACACACCTGACCAAATACAACAATCTGTTGAATTAAATTGCTACCCATTGCAGCATCTTCAATCTCAGATGGTTCAATGTTTTCACCTATACATTGAACATATACATTGGTTGTTAAATAAACTTCAAGGAAACGCTTTGTGGCAAGGTCGAAAAGATAGCTTAGGCCTTCAGAATAAAAGGAAATGAATAGATAATAGACACCCGAAAGAGGGATGAGAATAATATTTTTCCCATTAAAAAGTGGAATTTACATGATTTTTATTATAATGTGATTCACAATACGTATACATTATTTGGTTCGGGAATCCAAAGATACAGAATGTGCTTGTATCGGATTGGATATAGAGAAGAATCATGTGATTCATGATGCATTAGTGCATATGATGCGATTCAATTGAGGATTCCATCAAAATGGTAACACTCCTGTTTCAAAATTGAGAAGAATAGGGTGTGTCATACTAGCATAAGTGGTTTAACATGAAGAAATTTTTATAAGGTTGAAAATAAGTACTTTTTTGTATTTTATTGAAGGAATAGTTAAATACTACGGGGTAAATTAAATTCATCCACTATGAGAAGAAGCATGCAAAACAGCATTGATTCTGTGTACCTAATTACAGGAACAGAGAGCACTGTTAAAGTGTAGGGACTAAGGGATGATCTTGTTATTCAAACCGTAACTAGACAAATTTTCACCAATAAAAAGCTTTTACTCAAAACTAGAAACTCATGCAAAATTTTATTAATATGAGTAGAGGTCATATCAACATGTTTAATGCAGAAAAAAGTTTCTTGTTCAGTACTGAAAACGAATAATGATGTGGTCTTTAAGATAGCAGAATGAACATCACCATGGATTGAGTGAGAGTATAAGAATGACCTGATGAAAGCACTATAGTATCCTTGGCACGACCTTCGAGGATAATAACACCTGAAGCATTGCGGGATCGTCCTACAGAACGATGAGGTACAATCCAACCAAGATCGCCAGTATTAAGCCATCCATTCTCATCAATTGCTTGCTTTGTAGCAATTGGATTCTGAAGCAGAAACAAATGTTCCATTATTAAGCACATAAACAAGGTAACAAATAAATAGGTGCATACTATTTAATTTAATGCTGACATCTAAAACAATGTGATAAAGCCAGAGTTGAATAAACAAGGTACCAAATAAATATGTGCATACTATTTAATTTAATGCTGACATCTAAAACAATGTGATAAAGCCAGAGTTGAATGAAAATTGTGAAGCAGTGACGGTGGCAAAAAAGATACAAGACTGACAGGAGAGGTTTAAAAATCATTATTCCAACTATTGATTGGTTAGTTAATTAGTTGTAGCAACCTTGTAGTAGCCTTTCATCACTTGCGGTCCCTTGACTTTGACAATGCCTTTTGAACCATGGGGGAGGGCCTCACCGGTTTCAGCATCAACAACTTTTATTTCTGTGTACTGAATGGGATGCCCAATTGAACCAATGACCTGTAAACATTGAATATGTGACTGGCATGACATACACATTTGTATAGGAAAAGGGACACACATTGACACACACGAACATTGAATATGTGACTGGCCTGACATACACATTTGTATAGGAAAAGGAACACACACACACACACACGGAGGAGATCCGCTCTACGAGAGGTAAGGTCTGCGTACACCCACCCTCCCCAAACTCCACTTGTAGGACTTTCGTCGGTTTTTTGTTTTTAGGATTGCAAGGGAATCAAATAATTTTGGTTTGATTCAAATATACATAATACGCACACAGACATATGTATGTGTATATATAGTACTCCCTCGATTTCAATAAATGTAGTATTGAAATTTTATATTCATCCAAAAAATCCAAAATGAGTCTTCAAGTACAGTAGTCTAATGCAAAGTAATTATATTTCTCTGGAAAATAAATACTAAAAGAAAATTTGATCGCTTAACTACGAATTAGTAAAATCAGCTAACAGCTTCTGCTATAAGTTATAGATTACCAAAAGTGTTCAGTTTCAAAGGGCAGACAAACTACACTTACATTACAGTTTGGACGCCGACAGGCAACAACAGGAGATGACTCTGTCAAACCATATCCATTTTGTATTGTAATGTCAATTGCCTGCATGTTATCACATTTTGAATATCGGGAGATCACATCAATCTATGCACTAGATGACCAGAAAGATAAAGTACCAAACCTCGAAAAATTTGTCAACATGTGAAGAAAGACTACCACCTCCACTTATTCCAGCCTGAAAAAAAAGAGTGATCAATGTTGATCTTTTGAAGTACAGCATAATTATCTTTTACAGTACAACTCAATCTTGGTAGGAAACTACAGCGATTAAATGTTTCAGGTTGAGTCATAGGTTCATGGACTATAATAAACTTCTCTCAACAAGGTTGAAGTTCATTGAATATAAATCTTCCTACATGGTGCATGACTCTTTCCCCTACTATCCCTAGTTCATTCAATATAAATCTTCCTACACGGCGTATGACTCTTCCCTACAATCCTTAAATGTTTTTCATACTTGTGTATAGTAACATTGTAACAACAACCCAGTATAATCCCAGCTTTGTTGGGGCCTTTGCTTTATATGATTAGTAGGAAACTTCCTAGCCATTATGCGTAGGAATTATTATCTTTAGTATTCATTATTCACATGCTAATTGGCACAAATCAGGAGAACGCATTTCGTTTTACGTCTTTGAATAATTTGTGTAATAA